GGTTGTTTATATACCGGAGTCGGATAAATAGGAGCCGGTTGCATAGGCTGATATGTAGGCATTTGCTGGTTGAATGGGGGAGTGATAGCAGCCACATAAGGTTGTTGGGCATACTGCACAGGATAACCTTGCGGTTGAACATAATTCGGCTGATGTTGATAAGACTGATTTCTTCGTCTGCCTGCAGATACAACATTAGTGTCACCCTCTTTCTTCTTCTGAGAACTGAATGAAGGTTTCTTGGCTTGATCCTTGGAGCTTGAACTACTAGCAGCACTTGTCATCTTACCACTTTTCAGACCCAATTCCACTTTTACACCAACGACAACAATGTCAGAAAAGTTAGAAGTTACACTACCAACCATTCTCTCGTAGAATTCTGGACGCACTGTGTCAACAAACCAATCGGCTAATTCCTTCTCGGTCAGAGGAGGTTCCACTTGTGAAGCAATCTCTCTCCACCTCTGAGCATACTGCTTGAATGATTCTGAACTCTTCTGGGACATACTAAGCAGTTGTCTTCGATCGGGAGCCAGATCCATATTATACTTGTAGTGCTTAATGAAAGCATCAGACAGATCTTGAAAGCATTTGATACGGGACTGATCCAAAGTCAGGTACCATTTTGAGGAAGCACCTTGTAGACTATCCTGGAAGCAATGTATCATTAGCTTGTCGTTCTCAACATGAGCTGCCATTTTACGGTAGTAGATTATCAAATGAATTTTCGGACAAGTAGCACCTTCATATAGGTCAAAGCTCGGAGTTTTGAACTTTGGGGGAGTAGTCAATCTAGATACCAAGCAGACATCTCTGGCAGCAGCGCCAAAGATTTGGTCACCTTCCATCATTCTCGGCCTTTTGTCAATGATTTCAACATTCTCACGCAACTTCTCATGTCGCTCATCTTCGTCATCCTTCATGTCAGGAATATCATAAACTGGCTCATTAAAGTACGGCTGCACACGAGTGTGAACAGTAGCTGGTGTAAAGGTCAGAATCACTTGAGGAGCTTCAGAAACTAGAGGAACAGCTTGAGGAACCGATTGAGCGATAGAAACCACAGGAGGAGGAGGAACAAAACCAAATGGAAGACCATAGGGAGGTACACTCGCAATAGTAACAAGAGGTTGAGGATCCACCACAATATTAGTAATCTCGGACACAATAGTGGGCTGAGTATCCATCCTTGCGTTAATGACTTGAAGCATTTCCATTATCTGCCCAACACTTCCATGAAGGTCTTCGAGTTCGTTGCTAACACGGTCAAGTTATTAATTCTGTTCCGCCATCTTTTTCCGAGCTCGAGCTCTGGTGTTGTATTGATGCAGAGGACTCAGGGTGACAGAACTGGAAGCGAGAGAACCAAAGATGAGAAACCGGAAGGGAAATGCAAATGCAAAAACAGGATGCAATGCAATGCATTGGTTTCAAGAATTTCAATGGTCGATTGCAAATATTTTCGAGGAAATCTTGAAAAAGTTTTAGATTTTGAAATGTAGAATTTTCTTTGAATTTCCATAAGGACAATTGAACTCCTTGAAACCAGGAATGATATGATGTTGGATGCAATGCACAAACACACAAAGCAAACAAAAGTCCTAGGTTAGAGGAACGTGAGTGGAGCCAAGGTCTACCCATCCCAAATGGTAAGTACTATGGGTTAATTGTACCTGCAGAATAAGGTTCTAAAGAGGTGTCCAAAGTCATTAGCCCATCTTTCGGATATTATCAACTTCCCAATTACTTGGTGGTTAATAACATTCTCAAGAGAACTTCGTTTGGGTGTAGCATCGCGTAGCACTATTTCGGGGGTACTCCCTCATAGTCCCGCACTACATCCTAATAAAGGCCAAAGTGGGGTTAAAGGTAACTACGGTCCTCAATATCATAGGCCCCAACATCGAATATAATGTATGTCTTCACGATTAAAACTCGTTCAACAATACAGCTTTCGAGAGAGCCTCAATTGAGTGTGATTTTCAAGTCAGCTTGGTCGGGATTCCACCCCTTATAAGCCTCGTCGAACATATCACTATCCTATCTTAAGTTCACTCAAGTCCGGGTGTAGGACTTTGTCTCACCACTCAAAAGATATCAAATCATAAACAAGATATATACAAATAGTCATATAACAACAAAGCAAAAATAAAACAAGTTAGGCAAACCCACAAAACTACTTTCCCCAGTGAAGTCGCCATTTTCTGTTGCGGTGAAATTTAGATGTCAAGCTATTGATTAACTTGAATCTTAATTCATTTACAACCGTCTTTGATTTATCCGAAGGAAAGGTTGAAGGAAGGAAAACCTATTTTTGCATCGTAAACACAATGCGGGGAGAGATCTATGGTTCGGGGGTTGGTTAAGCTTAGGGAAGGTATTAGCATCCTAAACTTCTGTAGTACTCTACAGGAACCTCTTGTTTTAAATGTTTGCTATTGCTATGTTATCTACTTAAGGGTCTGCTAAGGGTTAAGGGTGAAGAGAAGGACCTAAGGGGGTTAGTCCTAAGTATACTCGCCAAGACTCGCATCTTATGCCTACGTATCCTGGGTAGGGGATGGAATCAGAGTATTCGTAGTTCCCCTCACAGAGGGAGGAAGAGGAACTTCTTGATTGTGGTCAAGGTTTCAGGGGGAAATAAACGTTCATAGGGAAGCGCTTATTTTGGAGTGCGGTGACTCCAATTTCTACGTTATAAGGTTGAGTTAAAGGTGTAAGTAGGTATTCCACAGCGGGAACCTACATGGAGTGCGACGACTCCTGATCCTAAGACTAGGATAAAATGGGTGGATGTCCACGACGGGACGCCTAAGCATGAGTACGGCGACTCAGATCCTAAGGCTAGGATGGGGTGAATGTGAGGTATTGACTTGGCGGTCAAATGATGTAACCTTCCCTTCGGAGGGGATTTAACGGTAAAACGGTGAATAATAATAATTGAAAATGTAAATTGAGAGAAAATGCAAATATTGTACAGTAAGTAAATGGATTAGAGCTTGAATTATGTTTGGACGAAGGCACTAGGTTGATTAGGTGTGATTGATTAAGTGAAAGGGGTGATCGCTTTTTAATTATGAACTTAGAAAATAAAGGTTTTGTTTATTTTTGAGAAATTTGTGAAATTAGATTAATTAATTTAAATGGAAAACGGGCAAGTGCTAGGAACAATTATTTTTTGAAGATTTTTGGGAGATATTATGTAATTAGAACCTTTTAAGTTAAAATAAAATATTAAATTAATAGTTAATCTTGAATTAAAAAAGTTGTTATTTTTAAGAAAAAAAGATTAAATAAATTCTAAAAAACTCTAGTTTACTTAAGTCAAATTAATTAGTTAGTCAGAAATAAGTTTTCTCTTCGGCTTTTAATATATATATATATATATATATATATATATATATATATATATATATATATATATATATATATATATATATATATATATATATATATATATATATATATATATATATATATATATATATATATATATATATATATATATATATATATATATATATATATATATATATATTTATGGATTTTTGAATATAATATTAAAAAAATGAGGTTATAATTAAATCTAAACATATTTTTATTTTTTGTTTATAAGTTAAAAAAGGTTAATTAAAAAATTTATTTTTTTATAGAAATGAAAATTAAATTAATACTAACAAGGTTTTCTTGTTGTTTGTTATTTGATGTTAAAAGAGTCGAATTAATTATAAATTTAAACTTAAAATAATTACTGTTTTTTTTATATTTGTTTTTATATTTTTCTAATAATTTTTCAGGTTTTTGATTAAAGGTTAGTTGGTTAGTAAATGTTAGTGTTTAGTCTTTTTCATTAATAAATAAAATAATTACAAACAAAATAATAAAAAAACAGAAAACTTAAAATGAATGGGTCGGGCTGGGTGGTCAGGCCCCAGACCCGACCCGGTTCGTCCCAAAATGGAGAAGAGGGGCAGAATTAAGGTGGTAACCCTAATCCTGAAATCGGTGCCCCATCGCCCCCTTTCTCCCCTCCTTCTCTCCTTCAACTCCTTCCGCCTTCTTCTTCTCTGTTCTTCCTCACCTTTTTTCCTATATCAACAAAAGAACAACAACAATGCAATAATGTTAGCAAGCACAAATTACAGTTTAAAAGAAAGGGATTTTACAGGCTTCGACAACGGCGGATTCGCGAACAGAGGAGGCGATTTCCGGTAGCTGGTGAAAATGACGAGGGTGAAGACTGATTGAGGGGTTGAGCTGTTGATTTCACGGACGGAAATGTCAAAGGGATTCACGGAGATGGCTTGCGGTGACGGCTCGCGGTACAGGAGAAGGCGAATGCAGTTTTCGGCGAAAGCGGTTATTTATGGGTTGATGTTGAATTTCTGGTTGTTTGTGGTAACTGCAAATCTCTGTTATGGTTGGGTGTTCTTCTCCCTTGTTTTTGAATCTCGTCCCCCTTCTACAATATGTTATGCGCCTTTTTATAATCTGTAATTGCAGACAGGAAAACATTCTTTTTAAAGTTTTTCCTTTTCGAATTGATGTGCTCTGAGGTCTGTTTGTGCATTGATATGATTAATAACCTTCATGTTCTAGCTGAAACATGTCTAATTTGGTTTGGAATATGTCAGAGAGAGTTTTGGAAATATGATTTCACAGCATTCATGATTCTGTTGTTTTAATAACTGTATGATTTGCTCTCAGACACGTCAGTTTCTTTGTTTGGAAACAAATTGGATTTTGCTTTGTAACCTAATGGCTTGTATTCCAAATTCAACCGCAGTAGCTAAAATTTGACTTTTTTTCTTCTGCCGGTGTATGACCAAGATTATGGTGATGGATTTTTGTCTTGAAGTTACGTGGACTTTCTTTAGGTGGAAATAAAGTACAGGATACTTCAACGAGAATTAAAACATGTCCGACGATTATGCCGATAAGCCAACACAACATGAGGCATAAGAGATATAGATCTTAGTCACAAGCCGACAGCCTCTAAGATGGTTTCTCTAAAAGACTCAAAACTTCCCATTCATTGTTGGACAGAACTTTCAGAGTTCCGTGTAGACGGCAGGAAGGATATTAACAGGTTTAAGGTTTTGTGTATATAAATTACTGCCTGTACTGTTTGCATCCACAGTAGAGCTGAATTTTTGTTGTGTCTACTCTATCAGAAAAAATAGGAAATCCACTGATCCTAGTGTGAAGCCGCTCGTAGTTCCTAAAGAGGAGTTATCTCAAGCAACTTCGGCACCACAAATTGAGGTATGCAAATCTTTTGATGAAACTTTCATTATAATTTCTTGCCCGTAAGTAGTGTGGTCTATACTTTGAAGTACAACTATTTCATAACAGTTGATGCTTGACATGTACCAATATTTTCCTTACAGGTTCAACATGAAACTTCACAACCGTCATTTGATAGTCGGAAGGTTTGTTTAATCTTTATATTCTTATGGTAAATGTACTGAGTGCACAATTTGGTGATGAGACACCTTCTTTTCAATCTCTTCTCCTTAAGCAAAAATTCCATGATCTTTGAATCGACCTCTTGCATTTTTACTCTAAGCTTCCACTGATTTCTTTCTTGTTGCATGCCTATGCTTCATGCGACACTTTTCTTGAGCGAAACTTCACAGAGCACGAGAATGACGAAGTGCCGCGCGTTGGTCGGTATTGATCAAGCAATTGCCACGGTTATCCACTGCCACTTTGACTGTATCTGAACTTTTTCTTTACATTTAGTGTTGGACCGAATAACCGCGGCTTTCCATTTACTGACGGAATTGTTATTTGTTGCAGGAGCAACAATTTTTGGAAACACTGCTACTGCTTTAGGCGGAATAGATTTAGTGGCATCTTGCAATTATATGGATGATGTTGGCTTGCTATTAGGACTTTTATTTTCATGAATTAAAAATAAAAATTCAATTGCCTTTTAAATAAGTGTCTTTGTGTTTTGACCTTCTTTTATGAGAATATTTGGATCTCTTGTACACTTTGAACTTGCAACTTGATGTAAACATTGTACTAATGTGGGCTTTTGTAAATAAAATCAATTTGTACCATTTCACGTTGAAACTCATTGTTTTTGAATTTTTAGAGTTGAAACAAATGCAAGTCATGCAAATAGGATTATGAAACTTCATTCGAAAGATTTCTTGCTAAACCTTAATGAACTTGAGGATGGGAACAAGAGTAACCTCGGGCTACAGTGACACAAAGATGTTGTGAAGGTTAACGAAACTCAAAATTTTAAACCTTGTAACACATGGTTGAATCCTTCAAACTTTGACCTTACAGGCTTTGTTTTTAAACTTAAATTTTGAAACCTTGATGAATTTTAAAATCTTTGTGTTTGGATATAATTCTCAAATTTTAACATGAAGGTATGAACTTCATGCTAAACTTATGATGAAATCACTGTGTAGTCCCTTGCATTTTAAGTCTTACAGCAACTTACATGCAAATCCTAAAACTTCTCATCTCTTAAATTTGGATTTCAGAACAAATGAGGCTCGCACTTTACTTTGAATATTTATTAAAACTTAATCCAATATTCTTATCCATATTCACAACTTCAAACCAAATCTGAACTTCAATCTCTCGAAACCTACAAACGATAAGCTTTGCTATTCTTCAGAATTAAAAGGTGAGTTTGGTACACGATTCACGCATTTCTTTGGGGAGACCTTGAGCATTCTGCACCAACCTAACTTCGCAAAACAAAACAAACAAACGGTTAAAACAGTTAGTTCATGCATGGATGATTGACCTAGTATGATATGCAAAGGATAAATGAATCTAAGGGTAAAATTTGGGGTATGACAGTTGCCCCTATTTAAATAACTCCACTGGATGATTTGAGCGATGAAGGCCCGAGAAATCATGGTGAGAGATATTTAAATATAGATAACTGAAAATTTTGCCCTTAGATGCAGTGATATGCAATGTTGCGGACAAAAACGACAACGCGATGCTGACAATGCTATGAATCTAATATGATGCGTATGATGGAACATGGTAAATGCAAGGATGCAAGAATGCAGACGAAACGACGACACAAGGGGAACGACGCGACAAGCAGATGCACACACTAGGGAAAACGATGCACTGGGGAACAAAACAAGAGCGGGAAAATTTGAACTGACGGCCCAACAGGTTCAAGCATGATCGGTTGTCACTTTAGAAGGACAGGTAAGAAAGGATCCTCAATGAAGATGGCACCGGTGAGACGGTCTCCACTGGGGGAAAATCTAGAGTAATGGCTCAGCAGGTTCAAGCATGACCGACTGACACTCTAAAGCAAAGGAGCAATAGGCTCAGGCATGACCAATTAACACCTTAGAAGCGAGATCCTCAATGGAGATGGCACCGGCGAGACGACCTACACTGGGGAAAATATTCCAACAATAGCTGCTCAACAGGTTCAGGCATGACCTGGTTGACACTCGAGGATAGAAAAGTAAAACAGGATCCTTGATGGAGATGGCACCGGCGAGACGACCTCCACTGGGGGACATTTGAGAGTACTGTTCAACAGGTTCAGGCATGACCGACTGATACTCTAGGGTAGGATCAAGTAAACAGAATGCTGGAGCATTGAGAATAGAATAACATCCGAGCTTCTGGAAACAGGATTTTCAGGAATCCTTAGAAAATATACAGGGTAAAAACCTTCTGTATGCCAAAACAAATGGATTTTCAATGGGAAATGCCCTGATAAGCTTCTTGAGAGAGGTTGCCACTTATCGCTGAAAGGGACTTACATGCCAACGTTGGATAAGCTTCCACGATCAAAATATGATTCAGCTTCTTCTTTAACTAAATGATTCATTTAGAAAGGGTTTATAAACTTCTTCATGTTTCAAGGTCTGCTGCTCCCTGAAATGATTCAGTTTCTTCTTTTACTAAAGGTTAAAATAAACTTCTTCAAACCTCAAGGTCGTGTTCCCCTGAAATGATTCAGTTTCTTCTTTTACTAAAGGATAAAATAAACTTCTTCATACCTCAAGGTTGTGCTCCCCTGAAATGATTCAGTTTCTTCTTTTACTAAGGGATAAAATTTTCCACAGCGGGACGCCCAAGTATGAGTACGGCGACTCAACATCTTAAGGTTTAGGAAAAATGTCCACGGCGGGACGCCCAAGAATGAGTACGACGACTCAACGTCTCAAGGTTTAATGAGATAAAATGTCCACGGCGGGACGCCCAAGAATGAGTACGGCAACTCAACATCTTAAGGTTGCGGTCACTTGTTGCTAGTCATAATGAAGATATGGATAAACTTGTCAGGCGAGAACTATTGCATACCATTGTTTGTAGTGATAAGTTTCTCAGGCGAGAATTGTTGCATATCTATGAAGGTTGTAAAAGGGCTCTTCTTGATAGATAGTGCAAAATAAATGCACGTTCAGGTAGGTTCGGCGACCGACAGGGACTGAAGTTCAATCTAGAATCGAGCTAGAAAGAAACTGTCAAACAAGACTCCATCGAGGGAATGAACTCAAATGGGTATTATCCTATCCAGGCATGGAAAAGATAACTGAAGTAACCATCATCCACGAGGGTTGAACTCTGTGGGGCGACTATAAATAGTAGGTAATTTGTGCTTAAGGTTGACAACTCTATTTGGAGAGAACGGACAAACCCAGTTACTTAGCAATAACCACGACCAAAGTAACGACAAAAGACACAAGGAGGAAAGCAAACATGCAGATGCTAATGCGTATGTCGATGCGTATGCAACATGAAAATGGAATGTGAATGCAACGAGTATCCTGATGCTCATGCTTATGCTCATGCACGTGCTGACAAAACAGACGCAAGGAGGAAACGGGAGATGAAATACACATCCCGACGGGATACCCGGTGACCTCTGCAAAAGTACATCTATCAAGGGATAGAAAAGTTGATGGCGGAACTAAATCTTGCTTCATAGTTCCAAATTCTATGGGGAGATCAAAATTCCACTTGGGTATAAGATATCATGACTTCACTGGAGGGTTGCCATCATGAATCTAAATTCTGATCAAAGAAGACCTGTCCACTGGGAGAGTCATCTCAAGAGTAGAGACTTTTGGGGATAAAATAAATATCCGCTTCATTGGGGAAGTGTGGAGCTAAGCAGCTTCGTGGAGAAAGTAGCAACTTCCTGGAGAAGTACATCAACTTCCCCGGAGAAGTACATCAGCTTCCCTGGGGAACGTAACTTGACTTCTTGGGGAGAGCATGGCAGTCTCATGGGGAATATTTCTGGCTCTGTCCGAAATTGCTGTCAGCTAATAGTCTCTCTGGGGACTGCTCTGAGGCAATGGTTCAAAAGTGCTTCTGCAACAATGAGCCTTACTGGGGAAAGGAAGACATCCTTCAGAGATTTCCACAAGTCAAAGCAACTTTATATGTTCCAAAAGCGTCTTCAAAAACAGTTTTAAGTTTAGAAAACTCTTCACTTTCGAAATTATTATCAATAAATAGCAGTTTGCATAACAAAAGGGAAAACAAAGATATTATAATAGACAAAAATTGAATTGAAAAGGGTTTTAATTTATTGAAGAATGGTAGCTTGCTAAGGGCAGAGCTCCATGGAAAATTACAATTGAAATTGGCAAGTAGGGGAAGGCTACATTGAATCCAACGACCTCTACCGACCCTAATAACTGAGACTACCCAAAATCCTGCTTCTGACAAGAGCGATTGGATTGGAATTCATCTTCTATAAAAAGTTCTTTGATGCTCGGCGTCATCTAATGCAGTGAAATGCCTTTGTCCCTAACTTTTGCCTGGATCGCCCTTTCGGGTTTTAATCCACCGGGACGCTCATTTTTGCCTAAGCCGCCCTTTCAGGTTTTCAGCTTAGCGAGCTATGTATTTTTTGTACTTTTATCCCTTATTTTTTCCTGGATCTCCTTCATAGGTTATGATCCACCGGGATACCCATTGTTGCATAAGTCGCCTTTTCAGGTTTTCTACTTAGCGGGTTATTTTAGGTGTAATATTTTCTGACTGCATCAGAGTTCGCAGGGTGTGCAAGCTCTTCACCATCCATATTTGTGAGAATTAGTGAACCTCCGGAGAAGACTGTCCTCACAATGAATGGGCCTTCGTAGTTGGGCATCCATTTCCCACGCATGTCTTTGTGAACTGGCAATATTTTCTTGAGTACGAGTTCTCCCTGACGGAACTCACGGATTCAGACTTTCTTGTCAAAGGCTCTCTTCATCCGTTTTTAGTATAACTGACCATGGCACATAGCTGTCATCCGTTTCTCGTCAATAAGATTCAGCTGGTCAAATCTGTCTTGAATCCATTCGGCTTCATCAAGCTTGGTTTCCCTCAATACCCGCAAGGAAGGTAACTCAACTTTGATGGGGAGGACGACGTCCATTCCATACACCAATGAGAAAGGGGTTTCCCCTATTGAAGTTTGCACTGAAGTTTTGTATCAGTGCAAAGCAAATGGTAACATTTCATGCCAGTCTTTGTAAGTCTTGACCATCTTTTGCAGGATTTTCTTAATGTTCTTGTTCGCAGCTTCAACAGCTCCATTCATCTTAGGATGGTAAGGAGAAGAATTGTGATGTGCAATCTTAAAACTTTCGCACAACTCCTTCATAGTCTTAGTGTTCAAATTGGTACCATTGTCTGTTATGATCCGACTTGGAATTCCATAACGGCAAATAATCTCTTTTCTGATGAAGCGGGCAACCACTTGCTTGGTCACGTTGGCGTAGGAAGCAACTTCTACCCATTTGGTGAAGTAGTCAATAGCGACTAGAATGAAACGGTGATCATTGGAAGCTTTCGGCTCAATTTCCCCAATCATGTCAATGCCCCAC